TTAAGTGGAGAGGAAATGTTTTGAGAATGATGAGGGCAATGAGTATAAATGTGCTTTACACAATTGATGTGTGTATGGATTGTGATAAGAGTTGTATGAGTCCCTAATAAAATAATTAGAAAAAACAAAACAAAAACAAATGCTCCCTAGGAGCAAAGATAGGGAGACTTTGTCTCACGTCCCTTGGACACCTTATCAGGAAAGAGTAGTAGAGTAAAAAGCTTAGTAAAGTAGAGGGCCAGAGAAAACGTTCGAGGAGATGGCCTGACGCAGTGGCTGCAACAACGGGCTGCAGCGTAGCAATAATTATGAGAATGGTGCGGGACTGGGCAACGTTTTGTTCCTTGGGGCATGAGGTCATTGGGAGTTGACATCGACCCTAAGGAACCTAACAACAATGTGATGTGTGTTGAAAAGTAGCACCCATTTGCTATTATGAATCACTGTCTCACCTTAGCATTTTATCATCATAGGCCTTGGTTCATAATGACTGGGTGTACACAGAAGTCTGACATTCATAACCCAGGGACTGCCTGTGCACATGCCAGGTCTAGAATGAGAAAATTGTAGCAAATGTGGATGGATGGTTTTATTTTTGCTTTAATTATCTCAGGTTTGAAACAATTCACAAGTCTTCACTGGGGACAGCTCTAAATGTTAAGAATTCTCACCCTTTATTGAACAAAACTTTCCATCACCCCTGAAACTCTCAGGAATGAATAACTTTAAACACCAGAAAGGATTTTTATCTATATCAGAGGTCACAAAACCAATGCCCACTGCAGCCTGCCAGGTGATGGAGATGAGTGGAAAGGCAGGTGTAAAGCAACACGGAATGCTTAGAGTGTAGTGACCAGGAAAACACAATCCTTAACAAGAGAAATTCAAGTGGAATAGAACTATGTACTCATATCTATATGCTAAGAATTAAGGTTGCTGATGGATATTCGGCCTCAACTCAAGTACTCTCTTAACACAAGAACACTTTGTTCTAACAACTGGCATTCTCACTTTCCCGATCATGATCGCTGAAGACAAAATGGGTACATAGCAAATGTGGTGAAGAAAGCTGATGGTGCCCGGCTATCAAAAGATATAGCATCGGGGTCTTAAAGGCTTGAAGGTAAACAAGTGGCCATCTAGCTGAGAAGCAACAAAGCCCACAAAGAAGAAGCACACAAGCCTGTGTGATCATGAGGTGTCCATGGGACAACTAAGACCTGGAACAAAACTATACTCAAGGTGAATGGGGAGGGTGGGGCATGGAGTGGAGACCCAATGCCCATCTGTAGACAATTGGACATCCCAGGGGTCACAGGGAAGAAATGAGCCAGTCAGGGGACAACACACAAGTTTCCTCTAGCTCTTTGGTGCTTCCTTCACCCACTATCATGACCTCAATTCTACCTTACAAATTGGATTAGAGCATGCACACTGCTACAGATAAGAGCCTGCAACACAGGGAATCCAGGACAGATAAACCATTCAGGGCCAACAAAGAGAGTAGAGAAACCAGGAGGATTAGGGGATGGTCAGGGGAGAAAGGGGTAATCGAATAAAACAATCAATCTAGAAACCCCTCCCAGGGGGACAAATAATGGAAAAATGGGTGAGGGACGACGGAGGACAATGTAAGATATGGAAATAATAATCTATAACTTATCAAGGGTTCGTGAGGGAGGGAGGACAGGGGAGCAAGGGGGAAGAAATGGGGAGATGATATCAAGTGGGAAGAGAATGCTTTGAAAATGATGATGGCGGCATATGTGCAAATGTGCTTGACACACTGGATGAATGTATGGATTGTGAAAAGAGATGTAAGAGCCCTCAATAAAAGTATTAAAAAAAAACACAGAAATTCAAATGGAAAAAGACAAACATTGAATTTACCAAACAAAACTTCCTCTGATTTCATCTGAAGGTCACCAATTTTCAATCCCTGGTGGAGATCATTTCTGATATGCAGCGAGGCTAAGTGACTTACCCCACACTGAAACCAATGAAAACGTGTTCGAGGAACTATTACATTCTGGAAGTAGGAAAGATTAGCTGGCGTACCTGATAACATAACCTGCTCCAAATGCCGAGGGCTCCAAACTTGTTTTCCATCGAAGTGGTTCTTCAAAGACAAACTTTGCCTCCCGGGGATGCTCATAGAGAAAGCTATCCACAAACAGAATGATTTCTTCTAATATCCCATCATGTAGAGGGGTTGCTTCCAGGGTCCTGGTTCCGTGCCCAGAAGCAGTCCACTGGACTGACCTGGTCAGCGTCACACCCATGGCATCCGTGAATACTCAGTACACACCCTACGTCAGACAGGAAGGTTAGAACGAGACCACAGCACCTAGCCTTTCATAACAACCATCTGCAGTCTTAAGATTCTAAACTAGTACTACCTAAACTAAGGTGCCCAGACGTCCGTCCCGCTTTTGGCGGGACAATCCCAATTTTTAACAATTTGTCCCGCATCCCGCGGCGTTTTTAAAAAGTCCCAAGTTTTGGAAAGAATGCACGACAAGCTAGGGAACGGCGGGAGAACGGGAAGGGAATATACGGTTTTGGGCTGCCATATGGCTATTTTGCCAGGATATGAGTTTTATATTATTTTTGTTAATTTTATAATGTTAAACTTTAATAATAACAAATAATTGTTGAGAACAGATTATCGAGAACTGCTTATTAAAGTTTGCATCGTTGATCAGTTGTTAGAATTCGACCACCATTGTTTGGACTTCATGAACAATGGCATTTTTTGGCATTGGCAATGACGAAAACATTTTGTAACTGTCTCTCAGACGATACACATTGTACTGCATGCTAGTGCTAGTTAAACAAGTGATGTCAACAAATCAGCTATTCAGATAATTTAGGTAAGTAATTTATTTATTTATTTCATAAATACATAAATTTTCTTGAATTTAGCAGACAGTGCTGGAATGATGTGTAAAAATCATTTGATCATATTACTCAAAATTTCCCATATAGTAATATTTCCGAAAATGATCTTTTTAATGAGGTATCATTATTAAATATATATATTGATAAAGAAAAGGTTAAACCTAGGGCACTAGCAAAAATCACAATAGAGGGCAAATAGTTAGAAATATTTCATCATTTTGAAACAAACCATGTTCCATACAATAATGTACTAAAAATTGTGGAATACACGCTGTCCTTACCAGAAACTAATGCTGCGACTGAACGCATTTTTTCCTACGGTAAATAAAGTATGGTAAATAAAGTGTGGACATCAGAAAATTCACAACTAAGTGCTGAGACTTTGAAAGCCATTTCATGTGTGAAATATAATTTAACAAGTTCTTGTGAAAAATTTCATGACCTTCTAAACGACAACAATCTACTAAAAAAATTTACTCAAATGAGAAATATGCCAAAGAATAAAATGATACTATACATAATTTTTAATGTATTATACTTGTTAATTGGACTTATGTTGAAATTTTAAAAAATATATTACAATACTATTTTTGCATTCTGAAAATTTTTGTTGCTCCATATAGACCAAATTTTAAATCAAGAACCCTCCACCCACACCCACCCCCGGTCAATGGTGTCCCGCTTTACCAATGTTAAAATCTGGTCACCTTCACCTAAACCCCCATTCTCCTTAGGAATCTCAGAGGTTTGTTTTGTTCTGTTATCAAATTGCTCCCAGGAAGATGTGCAGTCTTGGAGACATTGGATAAAGTTGCTAGGAGTCAGAAGTCACTTGATGCCAGTGGGTTTGGGTTTCCTTTGCTCTCTAGAAGGTCCCTGGCTGGCACGAACAGTTAAAGTTTACTCACTCAACTGCGAACTCACAGGATAGTGTTTCAAAGCCAGGCAATGGAAAGGCCTGGTGCACTGCTACCAGAAAGACCCCCGGAGCAATTCTACTCCATTACCCAGGGGTCACCATGAGTCAGAATCAACTCAACAGCTTTGTTTTGTTATTTCAATTCAACCAGACAGATAACTCTCCTGAGCCCTAGCCATCCCACCCGGACCCCAAAGAAACAGCTGATTCACATCTGCCTCGGCCCACTTATGAGCTTCTGTGTTCCCGGTACCTCGACGTACGCCTGCAAGCATTCAATCGCTTCATGAGATACTCCAGTGCTGTGGTACCCGACCATTTACCAACTGATCATTCATCACACTTCCTTTCCTTTTGATTTAATTTTACAGTGAGAGCACTCCATTGATGTACATTATGTGTGCATCAATGGGATTATGAGCTATGATTTCTATTTCAGACAAGTGAAGCAGGCATTACAAAATAATTATTAAGAAACTGAGTATTGGAGGCAATTGGAGCGAGGACTACTGATCTTTTTTTAGACTACTGACCTTGATAAGTGCCAGTGAGCTGAACTTTGTACAATGAAGGCACAGATCTGTCTTTCATTGATCGTGTTTGTTTTAGTATCCCTGTGTTTTCCCTCAATGGTTGGATGATGAAAAACAATTAAGATTCTGATCATTTGGGTGCATGTGTGCATGTGAAGATGGAGAGGTAAGAAAGCTCTCTGTTTTCCTTAGAATGCCAGTGTGAATTCTTACCTTACGCAGAACGGCTCCAGGGGACAGGTGTGTGTGGTTCTTAATCCCAAGTGAAACTCTTGGTTTTGGTGCTTATGAAAGCATACTAATCATTTCCTTCTCTCGCCTTTTAAAGAAAAAAATGGGAGATGACATAGATTACATTACATACATAATACCGTGGCAGTCAACACACATCTTAGGCGAATCTTAAAAAAGGAGCTAAACCATGTGAAAATTATCTTCCTGAATCTTGTGAACCAGGGCATGTCCAAGAACAACAGGCTGTACTCAAGAAGACTGGTTAGCAGATAGCTGAGAAAACCTGAATGGGTTGTGCCAACCCAGAAGGAAAGAAAACATAATATAATTATATAGATATATTTTTAATGTAGAACAGAATCCCATAGAAGGGACCGTATGTGGGGTTGTAGTGGGTTATCCTTTAGACCTCAAGGTGACGTATATGCCTGTGTGTATGTGTATATGCGACTACATAGAGTGTAAGGCTACGCAATACGTTCCTAACCACGAGGTCAGAGGTTCAAACACACCAGTCTTTCCAAGGGAAAAAGATGAGGCTTTCTGCTCCCGTGAAGACTTAGTTCTGGAAAAAAATAGCCGGGCAGTTCTGCGCTGCCCTATAGGATTGGCAGTGGGTTTGGTTTCCGCGAGAACAGAATTACAAAGTAGAAGAGATTATGCATAAAAGGCTTTTCTACAGGGAGAGGCCTAAGAGGAAGGAGGGCATTTTGGGTCTAGCCAAATGAGTTCTTCATTGTTTCGCTCTTATCTTTTTAATAGGATAATTGGGTCCCTTTCATTTAAATAGAAATTTCCGACGGCTTAGTAGCTTACCAAGAGAACCACAGGTATAGCATTTATTCCGCTACTTGATAATGATTCGTATAACTCAGGTAAAACTACAAACACTAGTGCTTTCTGTCATGACTGCTGCTCCTCAGTTCCTACCCACTACCAATCGATCAGATCTGTGGCCTCATTCAAACGCATACTTAGAATGCATGTGGAAACAGAGTATGTGACCACAGGTCCGCAGTTCAAACCCACCAGGTGCTTTGCAGGAGAAAGATGAGATTGTCGACTCCCTTCACAACTTACAGCCTCAGGAACTCACAGAGGCCCTTCAACCCTGCCTTATAGTGTCTGTAAGTCAGAATTAATTGTTGACATTGGGTTTTTTTTTCATACTTTTGAATTAAAAAATTTTATAGAAAAAAGCAATGAATTTTTTTTTAATAAGTTGCTTCCGTAAAGTGGGAATGAGTTTTCACTCGTATTTTCTTCTGCCAATAGAACAGATGAGGAGTTTTCTGTTTGTTTGTTTGAGGGGTAGAGGTCATTTTCAAGCTTCCAGTTGCAGTAATACGGAAATAAAACCCATTCTTGAATAATTTCCATAATATTTAAGGAGATGCAAAACTGTAAGGCTACAGAAAGAAGTCCCCGCTCTGCACTGTATAGAGAGCCATCGGGAGCCGCTCACAAAGGGCATTCTGAGACTAGAGCGGCTGGCTGGTGTGACCTAAAGAAAAAAAATTAAAAGTTCAGATGAAACAAACAAGGGTTCTTACTGAAATCAAGCAGAAACCCAAATAAAGGCACCAGTCAGACGCTTTGCAGAAGAGGGCACTGGGGTTGGGAGGAGAGGTCTCCAGGGATCCAGGGACTGGCGGTA